TGTGTTTCTTTTGCAGAAGTCCACTAAAAGTAGTTGCTCTGGCCCATGCACTCTGGAACCGCCAATGGTTTCATGCACTCATCATGAGGTGTGTGTTATTGACCACGAAGGACAGGTAGGACTTTTGACGTCTCACGCCAACACCAGTAATCCGCAGCAAGCAGCCATACTGTCTACACAGCGAGAGGAAATGGTAATACGACGTCGCCCACAATATAACGATTAAAGGTATGGCCGTTTTTTTCCTACTATGGCAGCAGGCCTGCGTGGACTTTGTTTTATGACTGCTTAGCTCACAACAAACAATTAACATTGAGCAGACTGAATTAACGTACGGAAATATGACGGATAATATAATTGTAGCTCATTTTGAAATGATTATTTTCTTCAAAGTAAAAGGCGTTTAGCGGGGATGAACTTGGGACAAAAATAAGCCTGCTTTAAATATAATTTATATATTTAAACTTCTGATAATAAGGAACATTATGACAAAAAAATATCATTTTGTAAAAGTTATATAGCAGTGGGTATTAAATGTTTGAGCGGGGATTCTCCACATAATCTCAAACAATATATTATAATTAAACTGGCAGAATATGTTGATTATTTTAGTTATAATTTAAAGGGCCAATTTTTGTTTTAAATGTACATGAATGTTTACATTTTAAATCCTTTAAGCAATAATACATCCTACAATGCATAAATATAGTAGTATACGCATATTTAAAGCAGTTTTGTTTACAATTGAAGAAGAAAATCTGGATTTATATTCCATGAAATATACCCAATTTCCTGGAAGTTAATTTTTTACTAGTATAACTCGTCACCTGAAGTAATCAAACACTACACGCCTGGGATTAACATTTACTATGCCGAAAAAAGGACGACCCAGGGTAAACTCACTTTACCTGACAGCATATTTTCAATAAAAAACAAAATATACAAAACTAAAAGCTTTTTAGACGCTTTGCACCCTCACCAGCCGCTGGTTTTACCTTGAAAATGTAAAATGTATAAGAAGTTGCATTGCTTTTTGGCTGTGTGTGGAGGCGTCAGAGCTGCAGGCCGCTGTCAGCCACACATATGAGACAGGGGGCTGATAACCTCTGGTGGTGACCAGAGGAAAATATCAGGAAGTGCTGCAACTCTCTCTCATTTAGAGAGATTTTAGTTTTTCACTTCACTCAATATGTTTAAATGATTGTTATGACTCATTTAGCTCAGGGTTGCTACTTTTTTTCAGTGAATTTGACAGTAAATATTGAATTTGGAGTTTGACAGCTGTTATTTTGATGCAGAAGTTTTTCCTCCCTGTTAAAGTTGCAGCTCTGCTCATAGTGAGTGGTGCAGCAAATAGAGAAGTTACAGCTGAAGCTACGCGGGTCATAATCGCTGTCAGATGTTTTGTCATGGGATTGTTGTTGAGATTTTATTTTATATTAATGCAATCAAAGCATTGTTTTGGGATTTCATGGCTCCGCTGTTGCAATATACCCGATAATGTGGACATCACATGTCGGAGCAACATCAGAGAGCAAAGATAACCAGGATCTGATGATTCTGACTTTAAATTATAATGCATTTATTTATTTTTCTTTGATGTTTCTGCAGATATGATCTGCGGCTATAGAATTTATTTAACAAATTTGACCGCAGTGTTGTTTGAAAAGTCACATTGTTAAAAAGTGCTTAGTTTTTGTGTGTAATTTGACTGACCACATGCACCGAGCGTGGTTTGAAAATTCATAATTTATTGATCATGAATACACAGTAGGTGAGCAGTTTATGTTTGATTATTTGATTTTTCTACATCACACACACACAACACACACACACACACACACACACACACACTCACACACACACTAAAGTAGTTCACTCTCTCTAGAATTAAAAATTAAATTATTAAGTGAGTAAATAAAATAGTATTACCTTATTTGGTCAGATGCCTTGTGGCAGTTTTACAACTTTATACAAAGTGACCGTCAAGTTCAAATGTTTCTATCTATCACATGACGCAATGGCTTTACTATTAATGCTAGTTTGCGATGTTTAATTTGCATATATCTACACAGGTATTACATATAATATAATATAACTACTGATGCGTGTTATATTTTTATGGAGACTTTAAAATTTAAATTATATTATCATTGTTTCCAGATGGATGTAAACTATCCTTAATAAACATTTTTAAGTCATATTATACACTTTTTTTCCTGCCTGATGTTAGTCAGAGAGTATGATTTAGCACAGCCGCCTGAAATATCGTCTGTTGTAAACAAATGAAAAAGATCAGCCAACGCTTTCAACTTAAACGTTGCCACTTTTGTGGGATCTTTAGGCTTCCCTTGGTGGTTTGTTTTCCTTGAAGGAAGCTTTAAAAGGGTTGCACAAGGCTATAACTGTGGCAACCTGCCCGCAGAGAATCAAAGAGAGAAAAAGGGGAAGAAAAGCCCTTTGTTTAGGCTATTGCCCTGTCTGGACAGGACCAGTGGATTCCAGGAGGGTAATTTCAATATCGAGCAGACAGTGTACTAGACAGTGACCTTGACAGTGCTATATGCACCGTTTACCAAGTTCTTTTTTGACTTTCGTTTTGCTAAATGAGAGCACAGGGTCTGTGGCTCATGGTCACACATGACATCATCGCAGGGCTTAAGATGCACTGAACAGACGATCAGTTGTTTGAATGTGAAATGCGGATCTGTGGAGGCGCTGGGATCGGAGGCGGGGAGAGACGAGGCAAGGAGGCGCAACACATGGCCTCTTCCTCCGAGGTAAAGTGGCGATTTAAGCCTACAACGTTACTCATGACCATCCGGGCCATTTTGTTGTAAACATCACACTGCACTGTTTTGCTTTTGGTTGCTGTTATAATAACAGGAGAAGTGATACCAACACAGACCCCTAATTGCTCCTCATAAGACTGAGGCACAAGATATTATACTGGAGTGATGTTGTGCTGCATTGCAAGACTCACTAACTAGATGGAAGAATGTACAGGCAATGAGTCCACAGGACAGACTGACACCGCCACGGATCCCTGGGTCTTTCTATTTAAGGCTAGAGCAGGGCCCGATGCCTTTGGGTTAGGTATGGTCACAAGTGACGGATGCAGCTATCAAATATCGGCTGACTTGCAAATCGTTTCCCAAACCAATGTTTAAATGAATGCTAATGTTCTCACATAACACTTCACTGGCAAAATTGTTGCACGCAACCAGCGTCACTCAGCACGCATGAGCAACCCCTTGCACATTTTCTGCAAATCCCTCACTTCATAATAACAATTATTAATTAATTTAATCAGCCTGTTTATTTTTATTATTTGGACTCATATCAGTTATTTTGTTTGCAGGGTGCCATGTCAAGAAAGATGATATGCAGCTTTTTAAATCAGCGAAATAGCTATCGGCGCATGCTGGAATATATTCACATTATTTTTATAACCTGGGCTGTTAGCCCTCAGTTTAAGCTGCCACAGCATAAAACGCTGTTTATTCTATTTTACTGGATTTAATTTATTCGTCTTTTATTCATTTAAAAGGAGTATTTGAGTTCAATATCAAGTTCAAGCCACCGTGACTGTGCGTCGTGAACTTGAGTGGATTGACGGCGACGTACGTGCGCGCTTGGTTATATTTAGGAGTGCGTGTCATTGATGAGTCAAACTTTTTGTCCTTGGCTGAGTCTTACTTGTGTTTTTTTTTTTTTAAAATTGCCATAATTGAGACATATAAGCAGCTCCCCCCTGCTGAGTTATGAAAACTTTTGAGATCCATAAATTGATTTTGTCTTCCTTATATTTAGTGGAGAGGAGGGGCGGCGCTGAATTATGGATTTATAAAGGGGAAGAGGGACTGGAAAAATAGTTGCTGGACTGGTATAACATAAGAACGCTGTAAAGTCTTTTTAGATTAATTTTTCAATTAATGCTGAGTGTGCAGACCCGGGGGATGAACGTAAAAGACAAGGGTCATTCATAAGAATGTATTTGAGGATGATAGTTGTGCATAGAGACCTCATCAGAAATTCTTACGCCAGCTGTTGGCAGGATGCCTGGTGAAGTTTTCTGCAGAAAAAAATGCACTGTTGTGGAGTGTCTGAAAAGTTTTTTGTTGGGTAAAAGAGGCTTATTTGTCAGAACAGAGGCATGGCTACAGTGTGCTATATCACATATTTGTTCAGTGTCTTCAGAGCTGCATCTACAAATCAACTAATTAGCGAGATATAAAGCAGAGAGACTCTCGGCTGATTGAATCAGTTAAGTGCCCTCTGATATCTTGTAAAATTCATATAAAAGAATTGTGAGAGGTATAACAATCCCACCAGAGTTTGGCTGTGAACGTTTATTGGAGGTATCTGTTAAAGTTGTTCATGTGAGGTGTACTAGGGAATATTATGTGAAATATACCCTCTTAAAGTAACCTTGTAGAATATCGTCCTCTTTTACAGAGCCAGTGGCTTCAACCTGCTGACCCCGTTACTGTAAATATGAGTAGAGTGCGGCAATGAGCATCAGTCTTTTCTTAAAACAAGCTTGTAAACTTGGGACATCACAGCTTTATGTGACATGGAATTCAACCATAATTTGCTAGAAAACAAGATGTCATATGCACCCTCTCCTTCAAGAAAAATAGTTTTCATAAGAAATAGCATTTTAAAAACTTTTGCCAGCTTATAAAGATATTAAACGAGGCCATGGACAGTTCCATGAGTGTAAAAGGAGACGCAGCCCGGGCTCCTTTTGGACTCAGCATGACTCAAGTGAAGAAAAACAAGATTCTACATTTTTAATAAAAGGTTTATAGTATTTTTAAAAAGCATATAAACCCCTGTAATACAGAAGTTAATGTTTTGTTTTGTCTGAGATGGACCGAGTGGGTGGTACCATGTGTAGCAGAAGTTAGCCTGGACACGTGGTTTGGGGATGACCAATCAGGAGCCCCTCCAGGTTTAACTATGTTAAATGTCAGATTGCAATAAACTAGAAGCTGTTGGTCGGGCCCGCGGAAATGGGCGAGCATAATCTTCTTAATCCAGGGTTTGTGGGACCTTTGGTAAACATCCACACTGGAGACACATTTTACTTTCCGAATTTTAGAGCCTCAGGGGGACAACTGGCGGGGCTACCGTCGCTCTCCTACCCGAGAAGGGACAATGTTTGCTCCCTCCCGTGGAATCCTTCGGAGCCGTGCAATGGATACTCTCAATCCTACTTTAGCAGCCCCGTGTCTATTAACCCTTCTTTCAATCGGTCGTGTGAAATTAGCAGACCAGAAGAGGGCAAATGTTATTATAACAACGGCAACGGGAACAGGGAGACCTGTTCAGGTGGCAGCAGCCTCAAACGAGAGGATAGGGCGAGAGACACATCATCATTAACATCTGACCACGGGATGCACAGTGGAATAGGCAGCACAGCCGCCTTCTCCAAATATGATTATGGGACCGAGCAGCTAACGCAAGACCCGCCATCCTGTCAGTCAATGGAGTCCGACTCCAGCTCCTCTCTGCTCAACGAGGGCAGCAAGCCTCCATCCAGCGACACACAGACCCTGGTGTCACCGGGAAGCCATTCAAGCAACATAGCCGCAAGCGGAGGTGGGTGCTGATTTCTTTTAAACCACAATTATTAGAAACGCACGGTTCACGTATTATTTATAAGAGACCTGCACGTAGCGTACACTTGCGGTATTACATTGTCATTAGAGCTCGTTATGTTGATGCACAACTTGCAGCCCGGATCAGCCTGCAGGGCACTTGCGTGGTGTGCAGACGCCGCTAGGGGTTGCCCTAAAATGCCTCACGCGCCATGTGGTTGTGTACAGTTACAGATAACCTCACCTAACCATGATGCCCGCTAGCTTTTGAATAAATGATCAGTCAATGCATTTCCACACCTTAGACAAACTGTGCACAATAATGCTTGGTGTATTGTTCCACTTTGTATACACAAATTAGCGCAGTGATTTAAAGAGGTGAGGCGCTTTGCTTGACTGCATTGAATAGGGAGAGTTTTCTTTTTAATGACTCGTAAACAGAATTAATATCTGTCGCTGTGTACTCAAGAGTCATTTAATATGCTCTGAAACTCGCAAATAAGTAGGGGTATTTGCAGGCACGGCTTAATTATCACGTTAATGCTACTTTAACTGCGACAATAAAACTTCCTGTGACACAAACCGCTGTATACTGGTGGTCTCTATAGAGGGGGCTGAAAAAATACATCACAAACACGCATGTTTAAAAATTGTACAAAATTGAGCAGTCTCTGTTGATCCTGACATCTGTTTTGAGATCTGATATGTCCAGGCAGAGACCAAAACAAATCCAGTATTGGCTGTGTGAGTGTGTGTGTGTGTGTCTGTGTGTCTGTGTGTGTCTGTGTGTGGAGGAAGTGACAGCTTCCAGGGGCCAGTTCTCTAAATTTTTGCATCTGGGATGTTATGCAAAACACAGAATCTCCCCCAGATGACTGTAATACTCCCTGTATTTCCGAGGCCGCAGACATTGTTTTTAGAAACTGCTTTATCTTGATACTGCTTTACCTTTATAATATAATTTCTTGAGATCTATGATTCTCTGATTGCCCTGCAGCTTTCTGCTCAAATGAATGTTAAATTCACTTAGCACACAGTCAGGCAATTACCCAAGCTTCCCCTGGACAACTGACGCCCCTGTGGGCTCCCCATAACCTTGGAGGTGACCGTGATTTTGCAACTGTGGTGACTAATCCGCTGTATGCCCCCTCCTCCTCCTCCCTCTCCCCCCAGGTGCTCCGTGGTACCCGATGCACACTCGGACCAGAAAGAAGCGTAAACCGTATTCCAAACTTCAGCTGGCTGAGCTAGAAGGTGAATTCATGCTGAATGAGTTCATCACCAGGCAGCGGCGGAGGGAGCTCTCCGACCGGCTGAACCTCAGCGACCAACAAGTGAAGATCTGGTTCCAGAACCGCAGGATGAAGAAGAAGAGACTCATGCTGAGGGAGCAAGCCTTGGCCTACTTTTAGAGATGCGGCAGAAGGTGAATCGATAGGCAGTAAAAAGCCAAGCCTTCTACGCTCCCTTAGGTCTTATTTCAATGCATGCACTCATCTATCCATCTTTTACATTGCAGGCAATTATTACAATATTTTTCGGATATTATTTGTTTTTCTCAAAGGTGCGGGCCACACAAGCCCAAAAACAATCCACTATCTGGCATTCAAAGCTACAGTCTACATGTCAGACTGCTTTCATGTCTGGTATAATCGCACAATAAGCTGTGAGAATGTGTTTTTTCTGTGTAGAGAATATGTCGTCGAGCTCAGTTTGGGGTGACACATAATGACAACATCCTTTTTGTTCCATGTTTAGTCAGAGACAATGAGGAGGGAGCGAGGCCACTTGGTAAAATCTCAAAAATAGGCCTAAAAATAGCAGTGGAGTCAGAAAGACAGAGAAGTGACTGGAGCCGCACCCGCGCAATAATTTCTCAGAGGTTACAAACTGATCAGGAAGAATCTCCCTCCCGATTGCTTAACACGTCCACCGCCATAATTTGCTGGGTAAGATGTATATCATCCTTATCTTTGCATAGTTTTCGCCACGCTGTGTGGACACGTTCACGGTCACGGGCAGGAAGTCTGGAAGTCTGTGTGTCTGCATGAGCAGAGGGGGGAACTAAAACCGCAGTGTAATCCATATCGATATCTTTATGACTGCGCATTGAAAAAAAAAAGAATTGCCATGACTTCGTTCATGTGCTAACAAGTTTCTAAAGGTATTTTTCTTACTTTTATTACCTTTCAACTTGTCTTAACAACAACCACAGAATCCTGCATGGGTTGCATTTCTTTTAGTTAAGTGAGATCACCGTCTTATTACGGTTTTGAGCTGCTATTAAATGTCCACGTCCAGATTGTACCCGTTAAAAAATAGTATATTCAACAATAAACTCGCCAGGATCTGTAATGGAAATATCCACGCGTACCAAGTACATTTTTAGGCCAACTTGGTTAAACAAGGGAACCGCCTAAAGTCGCAAGTGGCGAGGGAAATACGTTTTTAGGCCTAAAAAGAACATTTCTGAAACTTGGTGCTCGTCATGAAAATAAATATGTAGAAATTTAGAAAAAAAAAGTTAATCATAGGCCTACGTGTGTGCTCCCTTAATTCGGGGCGAATGCAGTGCATCATCTGTCATGTATAACGAGTAAGCTATAGCAGTGAAATGTATTTGCAGCATGTTATTGATGTGAAATAGCTATAAGTCATGTTCTGCGGGCCACTTTTTCTGTAAGTGACTTTTTATACTTTTTTTTCTCTGAACAAATCAAAAACAAACAACCTTAAACATTTTTGACACAAACGTCTACAAAGAATGTATTATTATTTTTATTATTATTAGGATGGGAGGACGGAGGGCCTATTAGGCCCACTAAATGTACTTGCTCTTTGCAACGTGCTCAATGTTGTCACTTCCCTTACCTTGTACTCGTGTATAACTTTGTAAAATGAAATTACATATGTTACTATTTGCATCCTGTCCGAGGATCCCTTATCGCTATGTAATAGTGCGTTATGTTATTGATCGTCTTGTACAATATCGCATTCCATATTTTCCATGCCTATTCGTGGTTGTGAGGGTTGGATCTGTAGGCCTATGATATCATACTGCCAAGAATGGATATAAGAAATGGTATGCAACAAGTTTTACCATACATGACATTTAAAGAAACCCTGTTTCAGTGTAATAGCTGTTTGTTATCGTCCTTTTATTTCGTCCCTCATTGCATTCCCTTCTTTGCGCTTGTAAGGATTGCTACGTTGTCTTGTAAAAGTAATAATGATATGAATGTATATGCGTAAGGTCTTCAATAAACAGAATATTGAAACGTTTATTGGTGTTACCTCAGTCTGTCTTTAGGGTTGCCTCTCTCAATGTTGTGCTTTAAAATCAGCCTTTTTTTCTGAGCGCTGACTGGTGGGATTATTTTATTAGACGTGACCTGTAACAACAGTTTTAAAAAATACATGTGGCCAACGCAGTGAAATGAGCATTAATGGGACATTTGGAAGTATTTGAGGGGGTGTTTTGTTGGCACATAATTGTACATGCTGTGAACTATAATCAATAGGAGCCCACACAGGTTGGTCTTGTTTTACTGTGGCCGCTCACATGCAAAGGTATGGCCATAGGTGGCTATGACAGCTTTCCATGCAAAATGGCGGCCAGATGCATGTGTCAAACCCCATCTTGGATTGAATATTATTTCACAGCAGCCTGGATTACTATCACAACTATACAACAACTGCATTAGTGTAAGCAAAAAAAAACAATTTTCACATTTTTTCCCTGGGCTTTCCCTTCAAGTTCGACCTAATCAATGTCACCGGTATGCTACAAGCCTATAATGGCGCAGCTAAACACGCAATAGCTCTGTAAAGCAGTAATAGGGTTACACCCCAGTGCTCCATATACTCAAGCCTCTTGGTCTGGCTGTGCATCCTGTATCTTCTGGTTTGCATTAGGAGATTTAAATGCGTGATAATAACATATAAAAACGTGGTTTATGAATACATGCACACAGATCAGATAGACAGGCTTTCTACATCTTTACAAACGACGGCGGTTTGATGATAAACCCATATCTAAAATCCACAAAGCTCTCCCTACTGGCAAGGAAGTGTAAAGCAATGCCGGACTGTGCAGTGTTTTCCTTTCAGCCAGCAAAGGAAGCATAAATGCGTCTGTCCCCAGCAGCTTCCAGTCTCAGTCAGTTGAAAGCAGGCCCACTGGAAACTGTACTGTCTCAATGTTGAGATCAGATGTTGGCTTTTCAGTGAACTGTGAACGGCCGCTGCTGCAACCGGCCTTCCTGAGCTGGTCTGTGCATGATCACAACACAAATACACACAAGTAAGATGACGTGAGCTCTTTACTAGACACAGTCTTCTTATATGCTGTATTAAGCCGTTTGTCTGTTTATCAATTAAGATATAAGATTCAGTGAGGTAAGAAACATAAATGACGTTGAGTGTTGCTTCTTGTATCTCATAGCCATACTGTAATGATGCTGACAGACGCTTCTGATATTTCTGCCTGATTACTTTGCTCCACTTTCCCAAAAATACCCTGCTTATGTATCCGTCAACATAACGCGTGAAGGATTCTTGAGTATTTTGAGTATTTTATATATAGTACATGTATAAGATGAATATAAGAGCTGTAATATCCTCCATGAAAGAAGAGCGCCGCCTGGACGCGCTATTAGATCGGGCACAATGCGTCATTTTGCAGATATCAAAAATAATATTAATGATAATATGCTGGTTTCATATGTAAATATTATGCACATCATGTAATTAACTAAATTTGTTTGTGAATATACAGTATATGTCCAGTCAAAATGAGACTAGATATAAATATGTGGCATCCACTGGTTCTATGTTTTGGAAAAATGCTCTCCATGCACATTTACGCATGTGATTAAAGGTGGTTTGAAGAGTCATTCCTATTCAATACCCACCTAGAATATGATCATATATATCAGGGGAGATACATGCGTCTGAATTTGAATCATTTCCTCCGTATAACAAGAGAAATGCAAGCATAATGTTTTGATATGCACCCTTTTACGCACTGACGACAGCATTCATGTGTCCGTGTATGTTTTCATCCAAGGAAATACACAGTGCATTAGTTTTCAAGTGGCGCCAGGCTGATGCAAAGCACAACCAGTAAGTGTACCCAAGTATTTGCCGCGATATGATAATAACAAAGCCTATGAAATAATACTGAGATCTTAAATTGCGTGTTGAATTTGATCATCCAGAGGACATCATTCATAACAGCTCCAATCTTTTTTAGCCTATCAAACGCGCTGTTGACCATGAAAGGAGATAAAAACTAGTCTTATGTTTGTGTGTTGCCTTGTTAAATGGCTTAGAGGAGAATAATAGATGCAAAATGCACCATGACGCTGCTGACTGTCCTGCAGCACCTCAACCATTATTTGTAAAAGAAAATCCTCAAGGTCATTTGTGTTCCAAATATTGTCTAAAAACTGTAACAGGCTACAAGAAACCTTGTACGTGCACGCGCTGATGAAATATAAACATCAACAAATGCAATAACTTAATTAGATTCCATTATTTATATTTGTAGTTTTATACGCTTTTGTGCTTGTAAAAATGCGCAAATGGAAAGGAGAGTGAGAGATATGGAATAGAGAGCGGGAGAGAACAGATATTAACCAGGATCCATGATTTTTAATATGGATATATTATAGTAGATTAGCATTCACTTAAACGAGGAAAGTGTAAACTTGAATTCACAGCGGCAGAATGTGTTAATACAAATGTATTTTGACATCTAGAGAGCCAGTGTAAGCATCCCAACAGCTCACAACATTGAGCACAGCATGAATCGCGCTTGCTACCAAGATTAAATGATGCAAAAGGTGGTTTGAGCTTTTACAGGCTAGTTAGGCGATTCCTGTGTAAAACGGTGGGATTATTTGGACTGAGTAACATGGCAGTCTGCTCAACGGATATCTGAACATGGTAGTTTTAACTTGAACTTCAAACCAGACTTATCTGCTGATGTTACGCGTGACTTTTATGTGTATCCTATTTCTTTTGGGTATTGCTGTCCTATATTTTGCTTTTGCTTGTGACAATCTTATGTTGGAAACGTTTTGAGAGCTTTCACGTCCGAGAAAACTTAACACTGGACCTCGTCTTTACCTGCCATACCTTCTATCCAAAAGCTAAAAATGATCACTGCATGACAGCTAATATCAGTTTACACTTGTTTGTCTTGTCTGTATTTCAGTTATTATGTATAGTTTAATTCACTGGGAATCAAAATAACCACAAAAGAAACCATGGCGGAAAACCTCACGATATTTGGATTGTAAAACAGGATGAAATCTCAGCTGGCTTTGCAGGTCTTTACAATAGGTCTTTCACTGCTCCTGAGCACTTTTGACTTTGAGACTGGCTAAATCTGTTTATGGCGGCCTGTCTCAGCGTCCCAAAGGTCAGTGAGCTTCACAGTGCCCTTCGCAGAGAACTTGTGTGGCATGTGGTCTACGTCCCCCGCCACCCCTCTGCCGTTTATGGTACGAAGCTGGCTGGAGAAATAGAAAGCAATGTTATTCCTACTAAAGTGTGTGTGTGTGTGTGTGTGTGTGTGTGTGTGTGTGTGTTGTGGGGGGGGGGGGGGGGGGGGGGGGGGGGGGGGGGGGGGGGGGGGGGGGGGGGGGGGGGGGTGGACGTGCGGGAGAGTGCGTGGCGTGTGTGTGTGAGTGAGAGAGTGTGTGTTTTGAAGGAGAGTGTTAATATGATAGAGAAAGAGAGGATAGGCAGAATGCTTAACATGAAAGATCCATATCGTTTCACTCCTTTCAGAAGTGTTATATATTGATTTTGACATGATATGAAATGAGTTCTCTATGAGCTCCATTTTTCTGAAATGTACTGTCTTATCAATTTGTTTTTCAATAGCATCGCACGTCAAACAACCCCTTAATGCGGGGTGTGAAGGTTTCATTGCTGCCTCGGAATAGCCGGATTCCTCTTACACCAGTTGTCTCTGATGGAAAGAAGGGAGAAACACATATTAGTATTGACAGTGACTGAGGCCGCGGTTGCACATCAGTAGTGGTTTCATTTTGTTGGTCTTGTATAGCTTATTGACGCATCATTACCATTTTTAATTTGGTATATTTGAAATCTTGTGACAGCATAGTAAGATTCTAAAGAATATATACAACATTTGTCAGCGCCCGAATAAATAGCTTGCTCAGTAATATTTACACAGCAATATCTAATCTCAGTTTTTAATCAGGTATTTTAAACGTTTTGAATGAATCGTTTGATTCCTCTCTTTTTTGCTGCCTATGGGGCATTCTTATTTAATGTGTTGTATTTTGGTGGTGGGCTATCCTCTCCAGGCCGACGCTGAAGGTCAAGTATGCAGCACAGAGCTGCACAACCGGCAGTGCCTGCTCAAAGCGCTCACAATTTTTATACAAGATGGAAAATTCTGTGTCACCTGTTCAAGTTTGTCCAGTATCGATTCCGTGCACATGCACTGTAGCCTGGACCTTTTTTGTTTTCTATAAGAATATCAATATTTTTTATGTTCAGTATGTTTTTAAAGGCCTGGCTCTGAGGAAGAGTTTGGAAAATCTGCAGCTCAGACGGCAAAGCAAACAGTAGGACTAAGTGTTTGAGCAGGCATTTCAACGATATCTGAGTCGGTAGCGTAAAGCTCAGAGCTTCTATTTTGGGTCCACATACTGAAGCGCTCGTGTGCAAGGCCAGCGCAAACTTAAATAATGCATTTTGACCCGACGGTGCAAAAAGAGCCAACCTAGTGCGCGCTTCGCCCCCATTACAGCAAATGTTCTAAATGCAGGATGAATTCGCACTAATTGGAGACTTATTAACAAATAAATTCTATGCAATTTTAGGCACTTATTCCATTTGTCACCTGATTGCCCCCCCTGCACGCACAATGCAGAATATTTGTTACGACAACACAGACGAGCTTTAACCAAATAATGACAAAAAAAAAAACAACAAGTGAAACGTTTATGTCTGACAAAAATTCAGAATATTACTGCACATAAGCAGGTTAAGTAAAAATATTATAAAACTCAATATTTGTTATCATTTTGTTATTGTCACCACACCAAGCGCATAGTCTGTAAATCAGCAAATTCCAAAACAACCCATCGCGTCATGGTCCGCAGTCCGTGCGTAAATTTGTGCCATCTTGTGCGTAATTTCCGAAAACGTATTAATTGGACAGTTAGTCAACCCTGAATTGTTTTCAAACACTGGCCATATTATCCCCGCTGATTTTATAAGGTGATTCAGATATTTTA